ACATGAAATAAAAGAGATGCTAACCGATGAGCCGTCGAAGCGAATCTGTCGCTTTTGATCGCGTGCACGCAGATTTAATCGAACGAAACGTATGCCGGAATGCGCGTAAAACGCGATGTTATGCAGGATCCTAAATGCGCACGGGGGGCTTGGCTACGAGCGCGCAGGAAATGAGTGTCAGGTGACCGACAGTCAGGTGAAAAGGGATTCATTAATGTATTCCGTCCGTTGGTCAGGTGTGGGCTTTCTGTTGTTCCTACTCCCGTCGTTGAAGCCCCCTGCGCGATTACCGTTTCGGAAACGAGCACTATTTACCTTCCGGTCGACATCATGTCGCAAAAAATTCCGATACAAAGAGAAACATAATATTTTCAGTAAATATTTTTAAGCAACGAATGTAGCGATTGTCCTGTCTTGGAAATTTATATAATATGCATTACTTAAATTATTATAACAACTACTCATACAAATAATATACGTATATACTATCTTTAGAGAAACTTATTCCATAAAATTCGATATTTATTAATACAATTTGAAAAGAGATCAAAGCTGTTCGTGTATCAGCATTTAACAAAATTATAGTTTACTCGTTTGTACTTGTGTGTTTATTAAACATTTTCGACCTTCTTCAGAATTGTCATCGGAATCATAGAAATTGTCTAAATAGAAAACATGTATCGAATAATAGGAATTGCATTACAACAGGAGTAGAATAAGTATCAAGTATGACGAATATAAAATGCGAATACAAATCTATGCATATATTCCTCGAGGAACAAGTACATATATGCATAAATATACATATACAATGAAATATATATAAAAAAAAAGAACGATCACTAATGCTATTATATATCCTTAAATCGATAAAACAGCAACGAATCAGGGTTAAAATGGAGTATGGATGTGGAAAGTTTAAATCCCCATCGACAGCCCAGCTGGGCGAGGTGTATTTTGAAGCACCTTGTATACTCGCTGCGCTCGTACACCTGTCGTCCAATTACACCCGCGTACAATAGTAGAACCTTTAACGCGCGTGTCCACGTACCGGGTGCTTCTATACGAACTAATTCTTCCACGACACGAAACACGCAAGATACTGGATGAAACCATCAAGACTTAACGACTAATTGCGTTACTTGATCTACGAGGTGAGTAGAAAAAGATGCAGCATCTGTGATAACGGTATCGTTCGAGAATGAAACGGAGCAATAGACAGTCACTGCTCGTTATTACGGTTTTCCGTGATGTCCGTTACCTCGCGAGATATCGGACACCGACTTTCGACGACAAATCCGCTGGTAATCTTTGACATCGATCGAAACATTAATGGAAACATTAATATTTACATTTTTGTTCATTAATTGGAGCAAGATTTGATATCGATGACGGCAACAAGTTTATATAATCTTTTTTATCTCCAAGTTTTCGTTATGTGCAATGATCGATATCCGTATCATTTGTGTATTTGATGTAGAATGAGGAAAAGACTGTGCTTCAAATATGTATTAGATACTCTGCTTTCAAAAGACAAAAGCAAAGAATCAAAAGGGAAACGACGCGAATAGAAGGTGGACGTTGGTGTTTTCCACGGGATAGTCGAGAAAGAGAGCGATACCATTTTCGTTTCGAGCCCACGAGAGGGTGACAGCGATACCGGAAGCCGCGGTAGATGGCTGTCTGACCGGAAGCTATTATGCCCGTGTCACGAACGAGCCGCAACGACTCGAGTTTTGCATCGTTGGAATTTCAACCGTTCTCGCTGTTTGCTCAGATTAATCGGCCACGGTGTACCTCTTATTTTTTTAATTGCAGGTTAACGCGCAACGGGTCCCTTAATTAATTAACGCGAGCGTTAATAAACCGGCAGAGTGGTCTGAATGATGCACAAGCTCGGAAGAAAACGAGACGTGCATCGGTGATTCATCGTTGTTCCTTCGCGTGCTTTTTCTCACGATACGGCCCCATTCTCCACACTCTGACTGAAAACGCGGAAGAAGACTCGCACGACGAAACCGTGTGCGTATGTGTGAAAATCGTGTTTTCTTAATTTTACTCGATAACTGTACTCGAGGAATTGAGCAAGCAGTTCATTTTTATTTTGTTGAAATTCTTAATATTTTACATACATACCTGTACCCACTCTCTCTCCCTCTGACCCATTCAGATAATCACCTACTTTCAATCCGTTGATGCATGGAGAACTCGTAATGAATACAAATTATTAAACTTGACATACTCTTTTTCAGATAATTACTATCATGTACCTATGTGCCAATGGAGGCAGTGACACGTGAAAAAAGGAAAATCAATTTGTTTTATCCTGACAATTTAGTCAAATTCCATTTACCAAAAAACTATGTGCATGGAAATGTTCGTAAATATTATCACTTTTTATTCAGTTGTTGTGTCTATTAGCACCAATATCGAAGAATTAGTGAAATTAGTAATGGCTAATAGCTTGTAATTTATGTGGCTATAGTAAAACAAGTATAAAAGAAATTTGTTTAAAAAATTACTCGTAGCTAATCGAGCACATTAACACACTTACAGGATATTCAATCCACTGATTACAGTTGAACCTCGTAGAAATAACCGTAGGCCCACAGAGCGCATAGATTGAGTGAGAGAATCCACGTGGATCGCCACAACGACGTCAACTTTCAACCTGTCTCCATTACTAAAAATTTCCTTCATTCTTTAATATTGGTACCAGTAAACACAAGAAATTTCAAATAAATAACGTCTCGTTCGTCTCCATTACAAAAAAATCCAATAAATATTTTCTCAACTGAAATTCCAAATTTCTAAAATCTAATATGTAAATGTAATTTTCCCCGATTGAAATTCCTAATAGCTAAAGACTAACAAATTTCCTTTTCCCAATCTGAAATTTTCGTAATATTGCCATAGGAACCCAAGTAAAATCGTCGATCCAAGATCCACAGTGATTTTTGGTCGTTTACCTTCGCAGTCCTCGTGTGTTCGACGACAATCGACATCGCTGAAGGAGCTCGGTCACGAAACACTTGTGCTGGATCAGAGAGGAGCCGGCGCCTCGTACACAGGTGCAATCACAGGTGATCTGGATTCGAATGCAGCTGCAGGCACGCGGCGTACGCGTTCCAGGTATCTGGAAAGATGTTGGAGGACGCGGACTAGCAGCCGATCGATCCGCGCCCGTTCAACCGCGAAACCGTTCTGAGGATGAACCGATCTAGGATCGGCGAACGATCGACGGCCAGCTGCCAGGTCGGCTGTGCGCGCCGCTGAAAATCTGGGACACGCCGCGCGGCTCACTTCGACTCGCGTCGACTGATAAAACGCGTCCGCGAAACTGCCACCAACGGGCTCGCTGCAACGACGCGACGCCGACGCCGACGCCGACGTACGCGTGCGTACTAATGCCACCGATCCGATACTCGCGATATAATCGAGTCAATCATCGAACACGGTTCTGTATTGGAAGCATAATCCCTGCTCGAACTGATCGCAGACACGGGGAGCCTGTGCTTTGCTGTAATTTGGTTCTTTGCGTCGATACAAAGACCACGTTTACTCTGATACCACGTACTTGGCCATGGCTGCGTGCTTATTATCGCTGTTATACTGATAAATCTTAAGCAATACTGAGATAACAACGCTCTACCTGGCGAAAGGGTACGTGGAGACACCGAGACGAAAAACTGATGAATTTTCTATTATTACGTGAAACGAAACGACCATTTCGCGTAATTTTCTTCTTCTAAAATTGCTAACGTATCGCTAAGGATAATGAATTATTTTTAGATAAATGAAAAATTAAAAAAGGGAGAAAATACATGGGAGCATCATGATTACTCGTTCGTTGGAATGAAAAGTTAAACGAGAAAACTTAATTATATTGCAATAGAATTAATGAAGCAACTAATTAAAGCCAATCAATACAAAAAGAAAAGTGATTCCATAATGGTAGAAGGATCAGAATAATGACTAATTGAAATAAAACGTAGAAATGAGGGAAACTCTATCAAAATTGATTGTTTTTATCAGATAATCACTAAATTGACTTTATCGAAAATAAATGCGACGTGGTTAACCAAAGATTACAGAAAATTCGCCTAAGAGACGAGCGTACAGTTCGATAAAACGATGACGCTGATAAAAGCTATTCGACCTTCGTTCGTTGAGGCGAAAAATTTGCTTCGTCGACGAGCTTTCGCGTTTCTCACCGTTGCACAATGAGATGCGAGTACTTATCAATTTCCATGTGGACAGGTGTCACGTACACACACGATCGAAAATATCGAACAGCTTCGGGCAGTGTCGTTCGGCATGGACGGTGCGTGTCGGAAATTCGACGAAAATAAAGAAGAATTATTGTAATTACATTTTAAAATAAAATGCGGCCCGTTACAAGCATGCATTTAAATGTACTTAAACGATTCGACCTCACGTTTCTCCTCTTTGGTAAAGTTGGACAGTGCTGGATCTAAATTTATGGGGGACCTTAGCTTAATTAATTTTAAGGGGGTTTTCTTTTTTTTTAATCTTTTCGTTATGAAAATATATTTATCTACTTGGTATTTATTTATCCGACTCCCTGAAAATGTAGACACTTGAAATTAATATTATCGAAGGAAGGTACACATTTTATCATTTTCGAACCTAATCTATCACTTTATCCTGCTCAATTTTAATTTTTGTTTGTTTCTCAACTAGCAAGCATCAATTTCAATTTTATTCTACGTAAATCCGCATATCGATAGAATTCAAATTGAATTTACATCCCACGAAGAGTTGCCTACGTTATTTTCTAATATTTCTCCCCACTTTTTCCTTTCAACAATTGAACGAACCCGGCATGAATGAAACAGATTCGCGTGTTACAAGTACGACAAAACGAAACGTGCTTCCTAGGATTCGTTATGATTGATGTTATATCGCTTACATAACTCTGGATAGAATAAAATTCATACGATGCAGCGGCACGATGTTACGCAACGAAGATAAGACCGCGCCGCGCCGCGCCGCGTCGGGTCGATTGTACGCTGCGTGCTCATAAGATGCGAATAAGAATCGAGGTAGAATCGAATTAAAATAATTGGACAATCGACGGACGCGCAGGAAAATCGATAAGGAACGCCAGCGAAAAGTTCCGAAAGACTGCCAGAGGATCCATCGATCATCGCGAGATGTAATCACGAAGTTTGTCACAGTTTTGCGATCGACGAGGACGATCAGATTTCTAATCAGTGGCGCGGTTTCTTCGTGGGACTTACGACGAAGTGAATATGTTAAAAAAAGAATGCTTCGTTAGATTTAATTTTGTTTTGAGAAGACTTGTTTGTTTTACCAGTGATACATCAATGATGTCATTTAACACGTTGTGGTGACAAAATTGTCAATACGGATTTAAATAAATTAATTTTAGAGCTGAGGCGTCGAAGAAAATGAATCTGTATAGGATTAGTAAATTTTTAAGAGGTTGCAAAAATAAGCAGTACCAGAAATGTTGAATTATATCATTTCTACTTGTATAGAAATGGAATTTTAGCCTCGTAGAAATGTTGACAATTATTAGTCTGGGAGTCGACGTGTTAAAAGTAAAAGTAAACTACTCAACCCACACCAATTCAGATTCTTTGATTCTATCACATTCTTAACAAGCTTGACCGTGCATAAAACCGCAGAGGAATAAAGTGTACTATGAAACCAAGTGACTCATCAAATACAATTACGATGCTTTATTTGGTGTCCCAGTCCCGAGACAGGTTGCGCACCCCTGGCCTATTGGATAATCCGCCGTCAGGTGGAAATATTTAATCGAGTAGCAGTAGTAGAAACGTGAGAAAGACTTTCATATATCGCTTATTGTACGCGACAGGAAAGATGCTCGGAAGTCAACTCGTTATGAAATTACGAAAGCTTATAGCGGTTGAACATCGCCGAGCGTGTGAAGATTCGGCGCGGAGAGGTAAAACCGTCGCGTCGCGTCGGAGTCGTGACGAAAGTGTCCATTAAAACGAATGGTTCCCTTTTGATTGGTTTCCTCAAGGAAAAGAAGAGTCCGCGTAATCTATTCTTTCCTCTCGATTGTAATAAGACGTAATAAGAATCCGCGCCTTTACACCGCGTAACCATTATAACGGGGACATTATGATACATAGCGAGATAAGATACATTTGAAACCGCTATCGGGGCTCGCGTTAAATTAAGTAAACAAGAGATCGAGGAAGGGAGACTTTCTAATGCGACCATAATATATCCTAATAACAGGTTTCCTAACAAGAGGACACGAATTTTCCTCTCCATCAAAGCCGACGTCTTGGTCGCATCAAGATGACTCCGCGACTATTCTCGATCCTAAAGAAGACGGGCAGACCTTCCCACGAGCGCTGCGTGGATTTTGCAACTGACTCGATATATAATTAACGATAATTTAATTCAAAACGACACGTCTACTCTCGCTGTGTCATCCTTTCTCCTTTGATGCGTATTTTCCGCATTTGTTTCGCGTAATTTGAAACAGATAGACGATCATGCTAGTTACGTGTGAAATGTGCTAGTCTCTCCGAGCACATCTGTTTCAACACTTTTCATTCTTTTCAATGGAGCTCTAGTTGGCGAGTGTAACAGCTATGGATACGTTTATCGACAGTTGTCATTTTTAGCGATAGTAGGAAATTCCAAGTATAGGAAGTTCAGTTTTGATTGCACCGTGAGGAGATAGCACATACTATGGCGTACGAACAAAATCTTCCATTTTTCTTTATTGAAATTTAAATCGCGTAAACGAAAGATTAATATATATATACATTATACATTTAAATATTGGGTTGTCCAGAAAGTTCGTGGCAATTTTTAAAAAAAATTCAAAGGCACATTTGAATCTTGACATATATTTATTGAACTATATATAGTAAGTGCCATTTTATTCCTTAACCTTTCCATCTTTTATACCTTTTATACCTACATTGTGGAACTTTATAGAAAATAAAATCTTTGCAAACGTTCCTAAAAAAAGGATCAACTTACATATAAATTTATTTTACTATGTAAATATTATAATATAAACTTTACTTTTATTATTTTTTATATTCTTGCATATTATGTGCATTATAAAGTGTATTTACATTTTGCAAGCTAGAGTGTGATCCATGTAATAATTCATATTATTTACAGGCATGTATAAACATATACATATACGTTGAACAAATGGCTACAGAAAACGCTGGAAAACGACGTACAAGTTCGTTATCTGATTCGAGTCAGAGCCAAGGCGAGCCGTCGTTGGAATTAGCCGTCTAATTCCGTAGAATTTGCATGTCAATGTGGAAAAGTTCGCGACCAGCGATTATCCCGCGCTAATTGCTACCGAACGCGGCTCGAAAATTGAGGGTTTACAGAGAGGAAGATGGAACGGGCAACCATGCAAACGAACGATTCGATCTCTCGCGAGATTCCTCTTTTCCGCATGTTCTCAACTATAGGTGTAGTCCACGAATAACTCCCAACTTCCTGGTTCTCAAATGTACTCGTACGACACAATCGACGAAATTCATTTATTCGTTAATGTAACTATAATCTTATCTCTTCTTCTCGTTACGATCACTTTCACGATCTACTTTTTATGCAAGTACTTTCTGTGCTTCTTCTCTTGGCTTAATTATGAATTCGAATTTCTGTATTAAATTATTTATAATTTGTTTGTGTGTTGCAGGATGAATGTATAAGTTTTGGTTCTGTAAAATTCTGCCAACTCAACATGATGTATCGAATAGTATGGCGAAACATTCGTGTCTCTTAACTCTCTTTCTAATTCTTCGTGACTCTAAGTTTATACACGTTATCTAGATACATTATTTATGTCCGATATAATCCTGTTATCAATATGCATCAGTTTTAGCCTTGGAGCGATAGTGTGATCTTTTAATATGAACTGTTTTCAATTTACAATAATGACTACAGACATTGCATCACTTCTTAATAATATTAATTATTATTAATGATAAACCAACACAATTTAAAATAACTAAATTGTTTAACCCAAAAAATGGAGTTGATCGATTTGTAAAATCGATTCCATATATAGAACATTTTTCCAAGATCGACTCCCTACGCTAACATGAATCGTAAAGTCTTTTTCGGGGCTCAGTTTACGACCACCATTTTCCGTTCCGCTTGCAAATCCCACGATAAAAACGTCCCATTGTGTCTGATCGATGGGAATCGTTGAAATAATCTCGAGTATCCTTCTCCCGAGAAACACAAACAAAGTGTAATTAATCGATAGGATCGCGTTCAATCCACGAAAGGCGTCGTGTCCGCCGAGCGAGGAGCTTCTTTGAGAGATCGACGCGACGCCGACCGCGGCCGACGCGACGATGCAGGAAGTAGGTTTTGAAACGAGCTAAGTTTATGGAAACCGAGAGGAAGATTTTCTTTTTGTGATCAGCATTCTTTCTACTCCCATTTTACGGAATAAATTCAGATTCTGTTTGTTAGTGGGAGGAGGGATTTAAGCCTTGATAACCCTTTCTCCTTGCATTCACCACTGAAATCTCCCTTTGGTCCTTGCAACGCGATCGTTTTCACGGTTGTAGAAGCACCAGACTTTGCGTAAACTTACAATTAGTATTCGCGGTGAAAAAATAACGAGATTACGTAGATCAGAACTGTCGACCACGTTTCCTCTCGTCGGCCCTCGTAACTGACAGCACTTTCGCGGCCACGAGGGCTGCCAAAACTATAATCGAACTTATCTTAACGCGTTCACGTTCTATGCATGTGAATTTACTTTAAGCAAAGAGTCTTGGCAGCGTGACTTTTCAAAGAAAGAAATCTAGAGTACTCTACATAGAGTATTCTTCATAAAGATTCATGAATTTCATATAAATTCATTTCCTCTGATGGCTAACATATATGTAGAATGAATTGTTTAGTTGTTCAGAGAATAGTACTGTCAGCCATATATGGGTGTCGAACGATTCCCAACCTGTTTTTCCTGTAACAACCCCGTTGTCAGGACGACTAGTACGTGGAAAAATTGCAGCCCCTGGTTCAAGTACGATCAAGTTACGAGTGTTTTCACGGGTGTAAGAGCACGAAGGGATTGCGTAAGAGAAGAATCTGCGGCATCGCTCAAGATCCCTCCACTACCTCCCTGGGATCTTCTCTTTCTCCGTTCGTCCGGTGTGGGAGCCCCGTGTAAGAGGGCCTCTCAAGAACCCCCCCTTGTTCCTGCTCGATCTCTAAAGCCATATATATACCACCACTTCGTGGTGGCATTCTTCAAGAAAGAAACTTTGCCGGTAACACCGTCAAGACCGAAACTTGTGTAGGCGGAGGTCCAGAGGAACAGAGGACAGGTGGAGAGTGCGTTGTGCGATCGAGGAACAAGGATCAACCAGAGATAAATGAACACCACGCGGAAGGATACTGCGGATTAAGGTGTTTGGATCTTGTATGATAAGGTGAGTCCAATTCTTACCGGTATTTAACCCTTTTTAATCGAAAATCCAGACGTTTCGTTTGAAAGAAATTCAATTATTTCTTTATTTCTTCGAATAAATATTATTCTTCTCTATACTTCTGTAATTATACATATACACATGACATACTCTCCTATATTATATGTCACAGCCAAATTATTGATTTTAAAATATGAAGAACGTGTACGAGACTATTAGGTACGAAATGGTTAAAAGAAATCATTAGCAAATTTCAACGTTAGAGTATTCTTCTGTGATCTTCGGTTCACTATGATCGACTGTCTTTTATTATGTCTTTGAATTTATCGATCAGTGTACTCTTTCTTTTTCTTTCAGATGATTTCGCGGTACCACATTCTGTGCGCGATCCTGCTCTACGGCGCGGTTTTGTTGTACCAAGCGATGGCGGTAAGTAGCGACCCCCCGTTAAATGGATGGTTGGAACAACGTTGTCTATTAGACAAATATTTCAATAGAATTTTAATCGAGGTGAATTCACGTCAGCGGTCGCGAATGTGTTAAAAAAACCATAATCTTATTGTCAGAGCTGGCTAAGCTGGAAAAATGTAAATGTACCAATGGTGAGGATGCCTTCCTCGAATCTAGTCAACATCCGAAACGTTAGATCGAGTTATGATGCGATGGTACTCTGAATAACTTTGATCCAAAAGTGATGCGTTACTGCGCAACAGCGAGATCTGGCGGGGAGGGGAATCATCTCTCGAGCAAACAATGCTTTTACGAAACCTGTGCTGAATTCAACCGCGAAATTATTATATTCAACATGGTTTCTCACGTGCAACAATGACAGAGGGCGACTGAGTATCTTCTCGCGTCATCTTCCTCAGCTGGTAGCGTGAAGTAATTCATTAATTAACCCCTATTGCGTGAATGTGCTTTCTCGTCGCGACTCACGCTTCCTTGGACATAGTCGTTCGTTCTGCGAACAAGACGTTTGGAAATCGCGCACGCTGGTGTTTCTCGATTAACACGACTCGAAAAACGCGACATTTGTTGCGTAACTAATTTTCTTCGAGTTCACAAATAATTTTTCGTTTTTCCTGAATAATCTATTATTCAACTTGTGTGACTTTGGAAGTATCGAAATACCCGCGAACAGAGAATCCAGGAGAATCGTGTGTCGATTCCAGGAATTACGAAACACGCCAGGATAATTCGAACGCGCCTCCGTTTGTTAGAAATTTTATCCACAGACGATCGTGCGACCGTCGAGCCGCGTGCGTATTCATTTTCACCGGAAACGATGACCGTGAACGCGTATCGAAACGGAAGGACGGGATGGAAGGGAACCGAATTTTCAATGGCAGCGGCCAGAGAAACGAAAATGATTAATTAATACGAGGATCGCTATCGCGATTAACATTCACGGTCCCGCGCCTCCAAATCCGCAATAAAATCAACGAATCGATGTCGCAATTTTGCTGGATTCTTCTCCGTCATCCGGCATTCTCGATACTTGGATAAGGATTTCCTCATTTGCGATGATGGCAGTGCCAGGTCATCCTTGCAACTCAATTGTGAATTGGTATTTCATTTTAAATTATCGATCAACTCGGAATATCGTTTTTGAAGTGTAACACAGGTCTATTTCCATGTCAGTTTTACATTCTAAGCTGTAAGGTATACATACCCGTATATACATACAGGGTGTCCGAAAAATGTTCTAGGTCCTTGAAAAGGGTAGTTTGGGCGGCAATTTGAAACAACTTTTCCCTTAGCGAAAATGTTGTCTGAGGTTTCGTTTAGGAGATATTAAGAGAAAAGCCCGAGCGATCAGAGAGCGGGTATGCCGGTGGAGCGGCTGCGGTAGCGTAGGTTACGCGCTAGTTGTTTCAAATCAGCCCTCGAACCACCCCTTTCAAGGACCTCCAACATTTTTCGGACACAGCCCTCGAAGATGAGATAAAAGTATCGAGAATTTCTTAATCTCCGATCACCCTACTCTCAGATCCTTGCAATCCATTTCTGAGCTGATCACCGTTGCGAATTGTTCGAATTCGTCACTTTCTCTGGAAGCTGTTCGATGGTATCTCTTCCAGGAAACCCTGACCTATCCGAATCCCTCTCGCGGTGAGTTCGTCCATCGCGGCCGTGGCTTCTTAACCAAGCATCGAAATCACCCGTCGCTCCGAGAGGGTGGAGCCCGCGTTTTGCGGTTGCGCGCGTACCGCTGCTCGAGAAATCGAATACAAAGGCACGGAGATGCGCATCCGCTCGCGGGGAACAATGTAACCCGACTTCCGGTCAGACATCGGCACGTGCACGCACTGGACTGGCTCGTTTCGTGTGTCGCAACGGCCTCCTTCTTTCCTCTCATCTCGACCGATAGCCAATTGCGAAAAAGATCCCGCGCAGAGATCCCCCTACGACGGTCTAGACGTTCTTTAAGAGCTGTTCGGATCATTAACCGTCGTCCGCGGAGAAGGGCTTCGCCGAGCGAACTCTTGAACCTTTACCTTTGTTTCACGCACCGGAACCCAGGTGAATTATTTACGGAATGACGCGCCACTGTAGATGAAACTTTATGAGAATTCTACTTTAGGTCTTTTTATGCACAGAAGATCTATTAACAGATATAGACATGATTTTTCAACTAATTTTACTAATCTTCGAATATTGGACAAACTTTCCAACATTTTTTACAGACAATGGGAATGGGAGGACAAGTTTAGAAAAAAAGAAAAGAAAAGGAACGATTTAATAAATACAAATTGATGAGCAAATGATGTATCGTGGTAACAAAGCTAACGTGGAAAGGACATGCGATTAATAACGTGCATTCTCGGTCGGTCCACATTGTATTGTGAACGATAATGCATGACGAAAGCTGTCGGTACTGTTTCGACAGAGTCACGAGGCAGTTGCCGCTGTGCAAATGTTTTCCTTAATTACGTCTTATGGCTAATTGCCTTTGTTCCAAGGGAAATCCAGTTGCGAGACACATATCTTCTTGCGTGAACTTAGAGAAATATTTTAGCCTTTCAAAGACTTTATTAAAGATACTTTGTTAAAGTCACGAGTGTTGCGGAAAATGAGAAAAAAGAATGCAATGGAAACAAATATTTTCTCTATTCTACCAATTGAGATCCGAAAAATCTGTGAAAAATCCGTGCTTTCAAGTGAAGCCACATTATATTAGCTATTTGATTAATCGATACAAAATACAAAATGTGACATATGTCGTTTTTGAAATAACCAACTTGATCTCTATTGACGTTTCAGCAAGTAGACGGTTACACGCCTGGCGTGGATTACCCGATCTACGACTCCGTACCTTTCGGCCTGACATTTACCTGCGGAGGCAAGTTACCTGGCTACTATGCCGATCCTGAAGCCAGATGTCAGGTGAATCCACAGCGCAAACCATAGTGGAATTATCTCCATTTACGTTTTAATATTAAAACAATCAGCGTTGAATTTATTTACGATTGCACTACATCTCTCAATTTAACAGATATTTCAAGTAAAGTTTCATTTCTTATTAAAAATGTAAAATTTTAATTGATAAATTTTTATTAAATCATCTTAATTTTTGTTTAACTTCGTCTGACTTTGAGATCATACATCCATTATCTGAACTTTTTAAGTCTAATGTAATCGTGTAATCCTAATGGCTCAATTGTACTCTGCAAGCAACAGCAAGGCCTGCAAACACCTTGTTTACAACAACTATTTTATAATTTCTCAGGTCAAGGTACACCTGGAAATCCGTGTTTATTAACATTTTCTTTACACTTTCTATGTGCTTCTCTCTATAATTAAATAATTGTTTTTGGGTAACAAATATAATTTGAATTATAAAGAATTAATTGGGTTTTTAACTCGAAACTTAAAATCTGAAATTCTACTATTACATATAATTATTATCTTTAAAGTGACCAAGAGAAAATCGAATTAAATTTATGATATTTTCTTTGCAGGTTTGGCACTGGTGCTTACCAAATGGACGCATGTTCAGCTTCCTTTGTCCAAACGGCACCGTCTTTAGCCAGTCAGCACGCGTCTGTGATTGGTGGTTCAAGGTGTAAACCTCTGACATTCTTTAACAATTTCTATCTATAATTATTTTGATCCTCTACGAGTATTTTCTTTCATTCGTTGATATTTATAACAAAGTCGAGCATTTTCGACTTGGAATGTACAGCTATATCTTGTGTAATATTATATGGTGGACCATTGTATAATCTCTCATTTATCAAAGTTATTTTGGAGATATTTCTTTCTATAATATAATATAATTAACCTCTTTAGGGACGATTTTTCTTCAAGCTTTTCTTATATCTCTAACTGTACATCGAAAATAACATTATCAGCCCAGCCAACCCGTAAAATTTCTACTCCTCTTGTTGAGGAATTATAATTGTAAACAAGTAAACGTCCACATATGTAGCCAAGGACGTGAAAAGATTAATTTACAAATAAGTGGTAACCATTTCAGGCAAGCAACTAAAAGTGATTTATTTCGTGTTTTTTTCATTTGTCGTAGGTGGATTGCAACGACTCGCCGAGATTGTACGGTATCAACGACGACCTCTACAGAGACGTGAACGGGAACAAGATCTAACTCGAACTGTATCCCCTGTGAAACATGATCGTAAGCGTCGACGAAGACCGTTTCTGTGCAGTCTCTTCACGGCGAGAGAGCAACTCTTAACGGAAGCGAGATTCGTCCATCGAGTTCCTAGCTTGCCGGCGGAGAATCGGCCAACGAACAAGGCACTGTTGTACTCTCAGACGCTAAATTCTGACTGTTGCGAGGCTGTTCGAACATTGTAGATACACTTTCCAAACGAACTTGACCGCACGTGCTCTGTAACGTTTCCACTAGAATCGCTGAAAAATCTTATCGCACCGTTTCGCTCCGACGGACGATCCAGGATACCATACTTAATCGCCTTATAATGAAAATCGATCACTTCAATAAAAACAAACAACTGATGCATTAATTTTTCTCCTGTGTGAACCGAGCGAACGGAAGCCACACTCTGATCGCGTCGATTTAACCGAGAAATGCCTTTTTCATTTTCCAACTGCGCAGCGTGAAACGAGCGAGAACAGTTTTAGTGGTTCCATCGACGAGGTAAATGGAGCCTCGATCGCGTAACGAACAGTCGAAATCGCTACGAATGATTTCTTGGCATGATCGGACAATAGAAAGTGAGCAGTCCTCGCGAGCGGCCAGTTCGACTCGTACCTTTTCCTCGTCGAACGTCGCGTCGCTGTCGCCGTCGCCGTCGATGCTACACTTTTCTGTTTACGCTTTACATGCACATCCAGTCGTCTGTACACCATTTAGGCCAGTCTACGGAGATCCGAAAATAATGTTTAAGAGCAGGCGTTTCATTCGTACCAATGGGCGTGTTTATGTTGGAAGTTTCGAATGTTTCGTTATTTTGAAACAAAGTTAGAGGGGAGAGTAAAAGAAAAAAGCTGCAACGGCTACAGTTTTTCTATTACATTTTCGAAACTAAGCATAATTTTGTAAGAGAAGCATAGTTGTCTAAAAATTACTTCTTTAGATAGATTTAATCTGCTAGATCTGAAACAAAATGTAACGATATTACTCTTTCTACTGAAACTTGATTACTTGAAGAATCGGTGCATACATATATGTCAGCTGATCCGCGAGGGGATCTATCGAACGCTTCTCTAAAACGTCACGCATGTATAATTACAGTTTCTATGACCAAGAATTTCGATCGGCTTTTTCAAGCGTTGCGTAAACGAATAGAAATTTTGGCGCGCCCATTTACGAAACTCTAGCTTCCTGTATCGAAGTATACAATTTAAAGTAACAAGGCCAAAGTCAACGAGCAACGCCCGTTATTCCGTTGACGTCCTGTTGCGTTGACTACGTGAGACAAATTAAAAAGTCCCTGTTGCATCGGCTGCTATCAACGGGAAAAAGAAAGATCGATCTTGGACGAAATAGTAAGTCGTATCAAGTCACACTCCGCGTCGTTACAAAACAACAAATTGCTCACAGCTATCAGGTTCTTTTTTGTTCGAGATTCGAGGTATAGTTGGAAGAATGAAAAGTCAAACCTAGATGGGATTTGAGATTACAAGTTTTATTGAGTCACGTGTGCCAGTGATGTAACGTTATATGATTTGTGTACAACCGAGGAAAAATTATTCGACAAAGAGTATTATATACTCTTCTTACTGATTGTATATTTGGGAGAATGAACGATCAGATTCCTTTCTTTCATTAAATCAGTTTATGCAATCATAATTGATACTTGAACTGAATTATGGCAAACAGTATGTAAATATCAAAAGATGAACAATGGTGAGAGACGATTCGTGACGTTATATCGAGAGATAACCATCGATATTGGAATTACTACACCTAGTCCCACATGATTGCGATCGCAACAAGATTAAACGTCTCTGGGATACTTTTTGCGTGGCCATCGGCATCACCAGAGAGTCCATTATTACCAGGCTGAAGATCCTGAAAACGATGGACACGTTTATTAAAAATTTCCATACAACTTTCCAGTGAACGTGTAACGCGTTAATATTCCGCGCGCGTGAAAACCACGCGTCGGCGTCGGGACGCTCCTCGAACGATTCGCGAGCGCAAATACCACGGGCATACCCTACACGCCTCGTTCTGAAATTCTTAGCGATCCCCTTTCAAAGATCAGAAGGCGTGTCACTTATGGAAGAGGAAATTTGAAGTGACTGACATTAACACTAAGTTTATAAAGATTTTTTATCAGCTGTATTACCAAAGTAATGCTTTCACGAGTGAAGCTGATTTACTAGAATTAATTACAAGACTTAATCAAGAGATTTGATATAGGTATACTTGTCACTTTATATGGATCAAAGTTAGCATAATTGGTTGGCGAAAAATATAAATTGCTAACAGTTGTTTGATTCGTATCGAACGAATCGTTTTATTTGATTCAATCGACTGGAAAGTTCACGTGCTGTCGATATGACTCATTCTACAGGAAAAATGTAAAGAAAACGAGAACTGGAGACATCGTCCTTGGGCCTCGAGGAAGAGAAGATTTACCGCGCTTGGAGGATGCGGAGAATTGTGTGGAAACAGTCCAATTCATGGAGAATGTCCAAGATGGAAAACTCCCATCATGGGCATTTACTTTCAATTTACTTATCGATGTTATCGCTCAAGAAGTCTTCGAACGACAGTTGTTGTTGTATGACGGAGAGTCTGAAACTCTAATTAATGATTAATTAGTATACCCGGTCAATTGCAACTGCAATTTGTAATTATAATTGCAACATACGATACAAGATAAAATGACCTATACACTATTTCCTATTTCAAACAATATTCTACCCAGCTTTGGTAAAATCGTATCGAACCCGTTCGATTCGCAGCCTTCCGCTGCCTTCGTTGGTAGCAATGGCTCTATTCGTCGGCAGCGACCCTCGAAGGTAATTTATTGAGCAGCCAAGTCGACTCTCCGCGATAACCAATCGGTTTTTCGTGCACAACTCCGTTCGATTACGCAAGGATCGTCGTGCGAGCGTCACGGAAACCTAAACTTCCTATTTCCAAACAGTCGCAGCTTGCCACCCATGAAAAAGAGGGAGAGAGAGAGGGAGAGAGCGCTCGACGCGCGATCTTTATCGATTAATAAGATCCCCGAGGCGCGATGTTCGAGTTGCGGGGCTCATCACTTTTGTCCTCGTCGATGTCCTTTGTCGCCGGAGTCGCGCGTCCTACTTTCACTTTGTTTCTTCGGATCGATCTTTCGAAAACTTCCAAACGAACCGGGAAGAATTTGTTCGATGGATTTGGTCGCTCGAAAATGGCCGCGAAGATGCGCGGAATCCCCTAAAGGCGGCTCGAGACCTTTGTCGACCGATCGAGATCCAGTCCACCCTTTGTCTCGGCTGCATCCTCTATCGAGGACCAAAACGGAAAAAGTCCTTAGTAAAAGTAAGACGCGATCCAACTGCCCACAGAAATGGCCTTCGAGCGCGTCGCTCGAGTCAAGTTTGAAAGGTGAGATTTACATAGTCCCGACGTAAGTTCTGTCAGTGAGTTAATAAGCATACGAGCAGCTAGACTCGAGTTTATACATTTCGAAAGTAGAGAAAAATGGTATCGAGTCGCATTTGGTTTATTCATAGTGTTAGTCACTCGAAGACGTCAAACTTTGTAAACAATGTAGGTCCTACTTACAGTTACAAAACAATTAGAAGTAAAGGTAAAACGAGATCGAACAGTCCACAGAGAAGTAAAGTCTGAAAGATTTCGCGACGCGTTGCATCGACTCGCGAGGGGCGCGCGCGTCGCGTCGGCTATCAGGTGTCGTCGACGCAGGTGCCTTTCCCTGGATGGGGCCCGTATTTTTTGGCACGGCTACGCCAATGAGTGTGGAGGGGGCCCAAGGCAGGGCGCCTATGGCTGGCCAGACCCCCTCCTCGACCTTATCCTCGCTCGTAGAAAGCTCGACCAGACGACGCTGGTCGGAGCACAACGCTCCTGCTGCTGGCTTTTCCACTTCCATCGCGCAGTCTTGTTGCCGGACCGGACGCGGTCTTGCCCCGAACACACGAGAACGCAGTGATCGTGCTCGACAAATCGAGCGATACGGTTTTCCGAAAGCAACACCCGGTGCCCGTCTATTCGTCGAGTGTGCTTTCTCAGGATCGTTCGCTAACCGAGGAACTCAGTCACCGCGGTGTACAGGTGTGAGAAATTATAATTGCAGTGCGCCTCGATGTGAGGACGGTGCTTTCATGAGGGATTAACGAAGAGGAATCACCCGGAGCTGAGAGAGACAGGTTTGTCATCTATTTCCGTCTACGATTAACCTACCATTTAATCATTTACGAATCGATTTTCCACAAATTTATCGATCAGACATTTCCAGACGTCGGCGAAACAAATATTTGTTTACCGTTAGGGGAGATCGCGATTTCGCTTATCCTCGCTGTCGGTGTACGGGCAACTTACGAGATTACCGTTGGCGAAAGTAGCGTCAATTCGTTCGCTATTTACGCTTTACGCGAGTGTTGGCTTCTCTAAACCAACGAGAGGCCCCGGGACAAAACGCGGACGAAATTTCGATTACTTAAGCGACGACGCTAATAACAGTGTTTTGTCCCGGGACAGAAAACGGGCGCAATCGTCTCGAGCCCGTGGCCAGAATGTCACCGCGTTTTCTTGCGACAATCCGGTCCGCCACGTGAGGTGCTCGGATGGCAGACTTTAAAGTAGTGCCTCGCAGCCCGGTGAAACTCCGCGAAACAATTCGCTACGGCCGATTCAGTCGAAAAAAGAAAATGATTGGAAGCGTAACGCAACGCTCTGGTATTCAGACGAACGAAATTTTCGTAAGAAGAGAAAACAAGGAGAACCGCGACACGACCAGCCCTCGAAACGCTTTTCTCTTGGTCGCCACGATTACTCTTGCACTATGCTACCACGTTAAGCGAATCTGTGACGAGTATGTTGTTTACTCCTTTTCAGCCATCCAAAGTTAGAGATTTTGAAGAATTGAAAAGAAAATCGAAAGTAGGATGTAAGTAATAATAGAAAGACGGAAGAATGAAAGAAAGGATACCAAAGATAACAATCTACGAGCAGGCGTCATCAAACACATAACTAATACCAAAGTACAATTATAATTTTGTTCTCCTCGTAATTAGTTTTCTCAGGCTGGAGTTGGTTGAACCTGTTACAAGTAAGCCAAAAGGTTAGCAAAGTGTAAATAGGCTAAACTGATTATGTAATATTCTAAAGAAAGAACACAAAGTCTCTATTAAAATAGAAAAATATAGAAACAATAATATACATCGACAATCGTAGTTCAGAAGAGAAATGTTGAAAAAACGAATACAAGTATATCTTAATCATAAATGAATCGATTAACAGAAAGCAAATTTAGTAGCCGGAACATTTTATAATAAAAATCAAACTGACGATTGCTAAACAATTGGGAAATTTAACTTGGACATGTTTCTGGCCGCCAGTAGAGCACTGCGAAAAAATAAAGAAGACATCGCGCAACGAATGATACGGGAACGTGATCGTGAAAGGACGATCGAGCGACGCGCGTGCTTCAGAGGATGATAACGGCGCCAGGACTTTCGCTGGCATCCTCTCCTCCTTTCGACGAGACTTTTTTGCACCTTCGGATGACAACGAAAGCGAACTGTTTCTATCTTCGAATTCGCCTTACGCCCAACTTTCCACTCGTCTTTTTTTCCACTCGCGGAGAAAAAAAGAATGCCGACTCCTACGCCTGGCGTACGTTGAGCGGTATTTAATAAGGTGAAAGGAAAAAAATACCGGTAGCACGTTTACCGCGCGGTACCAGGCCCGGTCGTGTCTTTTGTATATCGAGCACCCTTTGGTGTGGCTGGAAAATAATTACGAAGCGGAGTGGTGGAAAACTTAACAGCCGTGGCCACTCGTGAACACGTGAAATTAATATAATATACATGTACGTAGACACGCAATATGTCGAGGCGATCAAGGTGAACGAGGACTCTTGAAGCAATTATTCCAAAAGTATGAAAACGAAAACTCATCGAGTTAACTCTTTGCACTTGGATGTACTCTGGTAAGCCTAATAAACTTTGTCAACGACTTATGCGAACACAAATTTGTCACAAATTTGTATTTCATGTTAATAGCAGTGTTAATAGCAATAATAGGACTCGTTTTGCCGGTAAATTCATATAAATAAGATTTTAATCCGTAAACATTGAGAAAAACAAGATTTTCGATTGGAAAGGACCTGTCGGAAATGAAATTGTCTGTCGATTAGATTTCCAAGAGCAGTTTCGTGGTACCCCCTTGTGCAATTAGGGCGACTAGGCGTGTCGCGAGTCTAACGGGCAGCCCAGCAAATGAAATTCACTTTCAAGCGTATGTACAGTGCGGGACAAAATGATAGCCCACCCAACTTCCTATCTATATTTAGAGATACATGTAAGAATGAACATACAGGTATTTTTGGCATTCTGTATATTGTATAATATATTACATTTTATGTAGACACGGTAGAAATTGATTTCATGGAGCGGTGGGACAAAATGATGGCTTTAACTTGATACACACAGAAAAATGTGAATTTTTGCACAAATTCAATTCATGGAAATCAAATCTCAATCATTTTCTATTTCAGCCGAAAAACGTTTTTAAGGATGGAAAAGAAAAATGATGTTGAAACACAGTAATTCTCGAAGAAATATATTCGAAAAAAATTTCACATTTTACCGAGATGTACAACTTTTGTTGAAAACATTTTTTCAAAAGATCCTATGAACACCTCAAGACTCTATAGGGTGTAAAAACTAAATGCATCCCTACTTTCATGTCTAAATGTAAACAAAAATGTTTGGTTATCATTTTGTCCCGCACTGTACATAGAATCGGTCGCGGAATCCGTCGATCGAAAGTGAACGTGGACGCGTTAGAATGCGATAAGGAGGAAGGAGCGAACGAAAGGGAAACACTGAGAGGGAGGGAACGCCGCGCCGCACCGCGCCGTTCGGTTCGTAGGATCGGCACTGTCGAGGTTACGGAAAACCTACAGGATCGATCGACCAATCGATCGAACGTTCCCGGGGTGGGGTCTATCGATTTCCATAGATCATCGATAAAAATCCAAGGTAAAATTAGCGGCGCGAGTCGAACAACGGCTAAATCGCGCACGCTTCTTTATCGGTGGTGTCGTAAGCCGTGCAACGTGTCGGGCACATTACGTTGCGCGTTATTATATGGGAACGCAAACTATGGGAAGCATAAACTCCCATTTATGGAACGTTTCGAACGATCGAATCCGTGAGAACGGAATTGAGCTGTAAAAGTACGTCAAGCCTAACTCTATTACGCTTGGGATCACTGTTCCTCCTGATTTTCTTCATCCATATTAATGTCTCTAACGCAAAACGGTCTGGGAAGCGGGTTTTCAATTATTTTTGGAAAGTACTTTTATCTTTGCTTGGTACTGGCATGAGAAAAACGATTTTTAAATATTCTACGTAGATAGTTTAAATACAAAGTTGAAATATTTCGTTCTGTTCTTTGATCGAATTTAAACGAGTACACTTAATTCTGTGTTTCAATTAAATCTAAATGAAAATATATCATTTGTCCAAATTTCACTTCTTGTTTAAAGTATTTTATGTAAATTATATTGAGTTTGTTATTCGGAATAGAATTACGTATACAAAATTTCTAAGTTATACTTGCTCTTTGGCACTGGTTCTGGTTGATAATCGTAGGCCTGAAACACGGCCGTTACATATTGCATATATTACTTCCGCACAGGCTGAGTTGACACACGTCCGACCGACATTTTGCCAGATCTTTTCCAATAAACAATATCGCGCTGTGCGTTACGACACGAGAACGCGAGCCTGAGCACGCGGTCTGCTTTCTCCCGCTTTACGTCGACAGAGAAATAAACGAACGACTTGGCCGTAATCGAATGAAGTGGAATAGGCCTAAATAACAATATTGCTACACTCTGGAAAATCTGAATCTCTTACGGAAATGTAACTTACGTGAAGCTGATCACACTGCTCTTTTTCACTGTTGCTAAAAGATGGTTCCGAGGGTGAAAAGAAACCCTTTCAAAGATACTCTGGTTTTTCATGACTTACTTAATATTTCTTAAATAATTAGAAATGTTAGCTATACAATTTTACTGTTCTATAACACTAAGATAAAAAATGTTAGTTGAGGAAAAGTTAACGAAGATCTTTCAATGTAAAAAGTGTGAATTGTAATTTCGAATGAATCCTTGTCATTTCCTTTCTTGGATTTCAATTTCTCACTTTCTAAAACCACGAAAATTGGAAATGTTTAGCAAAGGAAGCCGGACAACTTCCTTTTACAATTTCGTTCAGATGATTAAAATTGACGACGCCGACGGTGCACCGACCTATTCGACCAGATTCCAATCGAGTGAATAATGCGCGACGTACTCGAGGCATAATTGCGACCAGTGGATCGAGTGTTTGATGGCCGCGTAATTGGACAACCACGGAGATGCGTTTCGTCACACACGGTGTCGTCATTTAAATTCATTTTCTTGGACGTCGAATCTCCACCGCCGCTGAAAAGGTTAGCGGTAGTGGTGGGATCAAGTTCAGTATAATACTAGCGAAATAACGATCCTTTCGTAGCCGACGCCGACATCTTTAACTTTTCCTCGTATACGTGGAAATAATGGTACGACATGTGTAAAGAGTTGAGTCTACCGATCGTATTTTAGTTGGAACCGACTTTATTAAATTATGGTTCAGTTTGACTGTGGATCCTTTCAACAATTTCAAGAGGAACAGATGTCCAAGAAAGGCTTTACGATTTTATTTTTTAATTAAACATGTATGGTATGGAGATGGTATGAAGATTATTAGAGAAGATGGTAGGTGAAAACGTGTCGATCGAGCACACTATTCTCCGCCTTAGGATAAAGCGAAATTTGACCATCGTCGCTTTCGAAACGCAAACAAAGTGTGTCAGGCTCTTCTACGGCATACGTGTGAATATTGCGCGATGGCCACTTTCGATGATGTCCGCTCAATCTGCACCGCTGATTGAATTTCAAGCGATCTATTCACCGTAAACAGCTGCAATGGTTCTGCGTGGCCTGTGCAACCGTAATCACTTTGATATTCCAACGATATTACCAATCGAACAGAAACTCTATTTCATATTATTTTTATCCACTGTTCTAACAAACGACGAGCATTTAAAATCACCGTGTAGTTGATCGGGTTACTATGATCACAGAAAAATCATTATTATTCCAGCATTATTATAT